TTTCAGTTTCTGATTTCTAGTTCATTCTTTTTGAATTCTACAACTGTATTCCCAGAATATATGTGACAATCCAAATTATTTGGGGAGCTAAAGATTTCGTGGAAAGCTATAGCGCTCCCCAACATTTGTAAAGAACCCAAGAAACCAGCTCGGCCGACCGATTAGTGCACGTATACTGGGCGCAGCAAGCCAGCAAGGCCATGCAAACGCGAGCACATCACCCGCGCGGAGGGAGCCCCGCCTGCGATCGCGTGCTACACAGCTACTGGCGCGCGCCGCACGGGGACCGAGCGCAAGCGCGCGTGTGGCAACGACTCAACGATAGCACCGTGTGCCTGCCTTCTGAGACCGCACCGAGACCGTACGTCTTGGTGGGCTCTCGGCGAGACGGCGACCGATGGGTTTCCTTAGGACTTTGGGTGGAGGACTGCGCCGATTGAGCTAGAGGGCTGGATGCCTCGTACGAAGCCCGCGTACGTGTGTGCCGCGCGCCCGGGCCGACGCGGCTGGGACACGGGTCCGGACTGGCAGGAGCGCGACCGATGCATGTGGGTGTGGCGCCAACCTTAGGATTGATTAGTTTCCGTTGATTCCACTCCAAAACTGAGCGCTTGGTGGCGCGTCGGCCCAGGATGATCCGGAACAACAAGTACGCGTGCAACTCTTTTGTTCCAAGGTCCAAGGTGCAGGGCCATACTCGCCAGTGGCTACTGTCTTCGATCTTTTGCTCATCGGAGCTAAACGTCTACATATTATATTTTTTACGAGATATTTAGTTATTATTCACTAACATCCATATAAATGTGGGAAATATTCGAATGACTTATATTATGAAGCGGGGGAGTATGTATTTAGGACAAGTATAATAATTGAGCTTGTTATTACAGCTAAAGCAGTACACGTCATCGATAGATTATCCCTTACAACAGTCAACAGGTGAGACTGTAGATTATTAAAAGCTCTTCATCTCGTTAATTAGTTCACCGGCCAGCCTCAGGCAGCAACATTTCTTTTTATCTTGGGCTAAGAGTTGATATTAAAACCAACATAATATCCATGTTTTCTCCCCCACTTTACCTCTCTTTCGCATTAGTATATTGGTCTTAGTTTTATATTATTTCAGATACATGTATGTTTTATTCTATGGTTCGAATTGTCATAGTTCGGTTTGAGCATGATTTAATGATGTTGTTTTGCGAACAGTTCACGCGTTATACCTAAAGCTTTGTTTTTGTCCAATATATCTACAATAGAATACGTTAACAAGAAAATTTATAGTTATATGAAGTATAAACTAGACCGATACAATTAATATAAAGATGGAAACTTACTATACACCCAATTTTTTATAAGATTCCATAGCCCATAGACCCAATTGAAACCTTTACACCTCTCGCATCTTCGAGTCCTTTTCAGCTAGATAAATACCCATCGGTATATCCACTCTGTCTTGTTTATACTTGTGGCATCAAACACTCTAGGACTGTCTATGCTTGCTATGCTTTTGGCTCTACCTTCTCCACCCACCCATAAGAACTAGCCGTGCACAAATATTGGCTACCTGCAGTTGTTCTTGCTACCCCCGGCTATCTGGCACCATTACCATTTCACTATATTATCCTACCTCCTTTTATAGTATGGACCTCCCGTTTCTAATCCTTATCGTATCAAGAATATTCATTGTACAATAGAACCTACAACCTCCTTCACCAATTCAAAATCTTGAAACAATTATGTATAACTTCAATCAAATATAGCTACGGTTGATAGATTTGGAACATAAACTTTTTTATCACTTGGCGACTTCATGCTTTCAACTCGAATTTCACGCCTCATCTGGTGATGTTGGAGTAGAACCTTTGCGCACATTCTAGTCAAAATTTTGATCAATTGTTTTCTCTTTATCGAGTGACAATGAATTCTTCGATAATTTTCTTATCATACCTCTTTAAGGCCTCCTTTGAAATGCAAGATACTAAAAAAATATAATAAGAAAAACGTAGTAATGAATTGTCATGCTCTTTTGAATATTGATGGATCTTAAAACACATAATATTTGAGCTAGTGCCTTTGGATGGTTCACAGGAAATAGATCACATGAATTTTATAGGAATCACTTGTAGAAGAGAGAGGAAGTAGAGAGAGAAAGGGAGAGCTGCATTGGACTTAGCAAAGGAAACAAAAACATGAGCTCTCTTATTTTCCTTAAGCCTTTTCCTTAAACCCAAATAACCATATAGAATTATACTCCCTCCATCTCAAATTGATCATCATATATGTTTATGTACCAAGACCAATGATAATTTAAATCACATCAATCAAGACACCATGTACACGTTCTCCCATAATACATGTATCGATTAGAACACCGTGTCAATTATACCCCTAGCATGCACACATATTCTCCCATTCTGCATTGATTGTATTCCGATGAAATCCGTGTCCATATAGTTATATGATGATCAATTTGAGAAATTTTAAATTTCATTACATGATAATTAATTTGGGAAGGAGGGAGTAATCCTTAGTAGTACTATTCTCCGAAATTTCCATGAAAATCCTCTAATCTAAAGAGGCCTAAACTCCTTTGTTGGAGTATGGGTGCAAAGTTTTAGTGCCCTAAAAAGGTAATTAACCAAATCACCCAATGTGGAGCATGAACCCTACTACCCCTACTACTGTACCTACGTGCGTGGATGACCTACGACTAGCTTGTTGTGTCATCTACCCTGTCCACAAATCTCTGGACGACTGGATCTCAGTACCAGCTTTCGCCCGCGGATATCCCCGCCGTCAGATCCCACCAACCCGTGGGCATATGGCCCCCCCTTTTGACGGCCACCGATCCATCCAAACGGCTTCGGCAACGGCAGCACAAACCAATCAATCAATCGATCGATCACTGGAAACGCCCCGAGTTTTCCCATGGGGCCCACCGCACATGGAGAGCCAGCTCTCCCCCACATGCCGTTTCTCGCGCTAAGTCATAACTTCCACGAGCTCAGCTCAGCTCAAGTTTTTCATTTTGCAGCTCATGTACACACACATCTCGTCGTCCAATTGATCAGCTACTAAAAGAAAAAAAAAAGAAGCCAATAAAATTAAATTGACCAACACAGCATCGGCTGGCTAGCCAGCCAACCAAACCAGGCGAGCCTAATCAGCACACCCAACCGACGCTAAGCATGATTGCGACCGGATTAATCAACTGCTTGGGTGATGCGAGATGAGCTAGCTTGTATAGCTAGCAAATGATCGACTTGATACGGCCGTGTTTCTTTTATCCCATCTTTTTTTTCTCAACTTCCAACGTACGTAATACTACCTTCGTCCCAAAACATAATAATATAGAATCAAACGAGATATATTTTCTGTACAATGTATCTGCACAGGAGTCCAGATATGTCTCATCTGATTTTAAATTATTACTCCATCCGTCCCAGAATATTATAAGTTTTAGAGTTAGACACGATATTAAGAAAGTAGGTACTCCATCCGTTCTCTAATGTAAGAGATTTTGACATTTTGCTTGCACTGTTTGATCATTCGTTTTATTCAAAAAATTTTAAAATTATTATTTATTTTATTTGTGACTTACTTTATTATTTATTACCCAAAGTACTTTAAGCACAACTTTTCGTTTTTTATATTTGCATAATTTTTTTAATAAGACGAGTGGTCAAACAGTGCAAGCAAAATATCAAAATCCCTTATATTAGGAGTTGCTTGCACTAAATATCAAAATCCCTTATATTAGGAGTTGTGATTGGATGATCAGTGGAGGTAGGTGGGAAAAGTAACTAGTGGAGGGTTGTGATTGGTTGGAAAAATAATGCTGATGGAGAAGTAGTTATATTTTCTGAGGGTTGAAAGTTGTTACTCCCTCCGTTTCACAATATAAGTCATTTTAGCATTTCTCACATTCATAGTGATGTTAATGACTGTCTACATTCATTAATATCAATATGAATATATGAAATGCTAGAATGACTTACATTGTGAAACGGAGAAAGTATATCTTAGGACGGAGGGAGTATTATATTTTGGGATGAGGGAGTTCGTAATAGGTGACGTTGTACGTGGTGGGAATATGGGATCGATCGATTATTCGATAGCGCTCGCACCGTGTTGCGATCGCTAGGTTTCGTGACACATGTGTGTACATGTTTATCACGAGTGATCATGGTAGACGGCGACTTCTCTAGAGATGCTAACCAATGACGTGGTGATTAACCCGTACGTGATGGCGAGCGTGGTCGATTCTCGATTGCGATGTATTTGGTCGCAGCCTGAACCGTAAACAAATGGCACCCTAAATGACACATCTCGAGAAACATATATTCCCTGCATCTGTACGTTTCACTGAATTCCCCGTTGCTATACCGGATTCGGTTCTTCTCGCCGAAGTAACCAGCATTCAAAACTTTCAACAAATCAATTAGCAACTATCATATGTGTCACGTCATCTGGCTGTGGTACTACTGCACGAGAGATGGAACTAACCGGAAGAAAACGAAATGAAATTATTGGTAGTATTAGGCTATTGTTAGCCACTCCCTCCACTTTATATTAGTATGTTGTTTCGATTTTTTTCTAATCAAAATCCTTTAGGTTTGATCAAATTTATAAAAAAAATTTAGTAGCATCTACTATATCAATTTAGTTTCATTAAATATAACGCTGAATATATTTCGATAATATATTTGTTTTGTATAAAAAATATTGCTATATCATTTACAAATTAATCAAATTTAAAGGAGTTTTACTAGAAAAAAAATCAAAATCACGTATAATATGAAAGGGAGATAGCAGTGGTTGTACATATATCAAGCTTATCAATTACTGATCCAATCAATAATGAGCGATGCGATGAATGATGCATTGTCATCTGGCATATGCATGTGGCTGGCCCACCGCCGCAAGCGGGCCCCACCCCGTCGCCTCGCCTCGCAACAAAACCGGAGCCACTCGAGCGAGTGAAAACGGACAAGAAAGCGGCGTCCTCGCATCGCTCTCGATCAGCTCAGCGTCGCGCCGCGCCACGCCACGCCACGCCACCCCACCACCCACCCCGGCTTTGAGGCCAATCCGGAGTCGCCGGGCAGCCACGCAGCAGGCGGGCATGAGCTTGACGGGGCATGGCGGCGGCGGCGGCGAGGGGACGGCGCCGGCGTTGGAGCTGCTGGATGAGTACTGGTTCTTTAGCAACACGCTGGGGAAGAACGGGAGGCATGGCGGCGGCGGCGGCGGCGGGGGTAGGCCGCCGATGCTGCCCAGGTCGCCGTCGACGGTGAGTGGTGGTGGTGGGCGGCCGGGGAAAGGTGTGGAGGCGGTGGGGACGTCGAGGCTGTTCGCGTCCGCGGGGCGGAGGCTCCTCCGGACGCCGTCGCTCCCGTCGCCGCGCGTCGGGATGGAGATCGCCAAGGAGGACGAGGAGGTCGTCGAGGAGGCCCCGGCGGCGGCGGGCGGTGGTGGCGATCAGGAAGCCGACGCGGAGGACGACGACCTGAACTGGAGCTCGATATACGAGGGCGTGCTCCGCACCAGGATCGCCGAGGAAGGTGTCAGGTCGGCGCTGCGGCGCGCGCCGTCGATGCCCGTCACGTCGTCCGCGACGGGGCGCGACGACGACGCCCGCCGCGAGGATACGGCGGCGGCCGCCACCGGGTCCACGACGCCGGGCATGTCCAGGCTCAGGCACGCCCACAGCACGCTGGAGAGACACTGCCGCTCGCACACGCCCACCACCAAGGTACGCACCGCCCACCCCCAAACGCCATTGACCGCCATGGATGATGATTGATCGAGTTTAACCCATTGATCCTTGCAGGCTGACCGGACGCCGAGAACGTCGGGCGGCGGCGACGGCGGCCATCGGAGGCAGCCACCGCGGCGAGAGCTGCGGTCGTTCAGCGCGAACCAGCAGCCGCTCGTCCGGCACCAGAGCCTGTTCCACGACAAGAAGTGGAAGAGCTCGAGCGACCTGGAGTCGATCGAGGTGCAGGGGTTCAGGGACCTGGGCTTCGTGTTCGACCAGGAGGAGCTCCGCGAGAGCCTCGCCGACGTCCTCCCTGGCCTCCGCGGCAAGCCCACCCCCACCGGCTCCGGCTCCGCCAGCGACAACGACGACGCAAACACAGCCACAACCGCCACCGGCAGCGACGCCGTCGCCGCCGTGCGGCGGCCGTACCTGTCGGAGGCATGGTACCACGTGCGGCGGCCGGCGCCCCGATCACCGGCGGCGGCGGCGATGAGGCTGCAGCAGGCGGACGCGAGGTCGGCGGCGGAGATGAAGGACCAGCTTCGGATGTGGGCGCAGGCCGTGGCGTGCAACGTCCGACAAGAGTGTTAAAATCGGATCGATACATGGCGTCGACCGGACCAGACACACGATCACACGAGTTTTTTTTTTTTTTACCGCGGAAACCAGAAGCACCAACTCGATGATACTACTACCATTTCAGTAGTTGAGTTTTGTTACTTTCGCCTGCAAATTCCATTCCAATCCAAGAGGGTGATACTCCATCTAGGTAGATGTTCAGTGCTCTTCCCACCTTTTGTTTTTCTTTATATATCCTCCTTTGGTTGATCTATGAATAATATGGCGGCAACCGCCCTATTCTTTTTGTTAATACCCAAATGAAAGGATTTACAATCTATAATGCTGAGAGGCTCCATTTGGAACTCATGAATTCTCGCACAAATTTTGTTTGGAACACCACTGCTTGTAACTATCCTAGTAACTAGTAAGGGTGGATGTTTCATTTCCTACGAAATTGTTGCAGAATTCAGAGGTTCCAAGGGAGCCAACGTGAGTAGTATATAATCTCGACAAAAAAAAGATAATTTTATATCAATGTTACTGCCAATATAGCAAAATTCTGAGGCCTTGGATCAGGCAACATAATGAAAATATTGCTGTTACTAACCACTGGTCAGGAGTTTTTGGCTGATATCATAGCAGGAGAGCAAGGCAATCTTGACCAAAAAGGGAATTTTATATCCATGTTACTGCCAATATAGCAAAATTCTGGGGCCTTGGATCAGGAAACGCAACGATTCAAGTGAAAATGTTGCTATTCCTAACCATTGTTCAGGAGTTTTTGGCTGATACTAGCATAGCAGGAGAGCAAGGCGACGCATACCTCTGGTTGTCCGGCCAATCCCCATGTGCCGGTTTCTGGCTACCAGCAGGCAAGTCCAAAAACAATGTTTGGAATCTGGACAGTTCGGCGCCGATAACACGAGAGATCCAATGACAAACAGCATACAGTACGCATCATCAGATGTCAGATATGAATATGATCAAGCAAACTCGAATCGGCACCGATTGCGGCCGACTCGCCGTATTTTTGTGCCATGTTAAGCACCAGCTGCAGCAGCAGAACGTAACATGGACTCATCGAGATACGAGCCATTTAATTGAACGGGAGAAACTGACAATTAAGATCGGTTCAGCCAAACAAGGACGTTGTAATAGACTCGTTTAAAGATTAGTTAGTATGACCTGTTTAACACAGATTCATTGAATGCTGACAATATTTCATAAATATGAGTGGTAAACATTTGATGAATTCCACGCTTCACGCAAAATCTGACCAATTCCAGCGATCAGTCGAGGAGACTCTATCTGATGAAGCTGCACGTGCACTCCATACCGGATGGCAAATCCCAAAACCGACGGTAAGGGGTAATCACTAATCAGCTACAAGTGTCTCAAAATCTTGAAAGGTTCCACATACTGGAACAAGCTATACATGGGCCAAATGTGCTGTCAGCCATGATACCATAAACAAGCTGCCAGCATTTTGCCCCTGTCTACAAAAGATGGCCTACAATTCCTAAAGCAAATATAAGAACCTGAAAGTTTGCCCTGCCATGCAGTTTTTGGTGCTAGTAGTTTAAATATAGATACTGTCAACAGCACCATTTGATCCAGTTCAGTAAGTTCAAATTACTGAACGGGTAAGCTAGCACCGCCAGCAGATCTTCTCAAGACCGCACCTTGCAGAAGATAAGAAGCCTTGTTCCGAACCTGGATGAAACAAAATGGTCCGGTATAACCAAGATGGAGAAATGGGTAAAAACCAACTGAAAGAATGCAATGTTTTAGTACCTTTGAGGCATATAATCTCCAGTCTGTGCATCCTATTTGGGTTGAACAATTCCGCAGATAATTACGCCAAGAATTAATGATCGCATGCTTATCTCTAAAGGCATCACTTGAGAAGAGTAAGTTATCCATCAAAACTAGGTATACGTACAGACTGAAAAAGTTGCAATCTTTATCCTTCACATTTATGGACATGACTGACTTCAAGATCTTCTCAACATTTGCCACCTGAATACGCAGAACACACAAAAATTTATGGGCTAGCACAACCATACCAAAAGGTATATTGAAGAGACATGCTCATCAATCATGCTTACCTTAAGGCCAAAGCTAACTTTGAGGAATTGTAGGGCCAGCTGGCTCCTTAAGAATTTGCTACGGTAATCAGTCCCAGTGATACAGTCAACAATCCTTAAACAATTCAGGTCCATTGTGACTCTGCAATGTTATGAAGTTGATTTCAGATGGGCAAATATCGTAAGCAAAAGCCATGTGAGCTATTCTTTAACAAAATACCATGAGTTACTGTACACGAAACATTGCAAGAGATGGAATAGAATTGTACAGAAGCTAAAGTCCTCAACGTAGAGCAAACGGCATAACAAGGTTCATCGCCGACATATCTTGTTGAGAAAGCATTATTGCATCCTAGTCAATATCTAACTAATGTATTCACCCATAAATTACTCGAGCACTTGTTCAATTGGGCATCAGTATACCATGAAATGGTAAATGGTTACAAATCACCAATACAGATCTCGTCTTAAAAATAAGACGTTTTGAAAAAATTTACCTCTGGGAAATGGACTGAGCCACTATTAGACAGCTACTTTCCCATTCACTTGAATTGAAGTACAAGATAAGTGAACTCAGACAGTCTCCCAAAATAAGCAGCAGGCCCTCAAGTTGTCGGTCCAAAAATAAGGAAATAACAATAACAAGGAGTTCTTCTGCCTCGGAAGATGAGAATATGGAATGCACATTTCTGTAAATCAAATAAATATTCAAATAGAATTAACTTGGTACAAAAAGAATAGCAGAATTACTGAAACACTGGTTAATATCATAATATTTATTGTTTTAGAAGGATTAAATGAATACAGAGATTTACATTCACCATACAAAAAGACATCGCTATCACAAATAGTGGAACAACAAAGCCACACTGGAAGCCTGAACATCAGAACAGGACAGAATCATGAAACTAAAATGTCCCTTAAGTAGCAGTAGAACAATTCTAGAATGTTATCATCGCAAAATATAGTGACCGCAGATTTGGGCAGAATTTTGCATCATACTGGGATAACATCAGTATTACAGACAGAGCTAGAAACATCCAGTCCTAATATAATATAACTATGAGCTATCATCTATATAAGCAATAACACACAAATTTATACTGATTATTTTGTTTTAGCCAAAACTTGAGAGATTACAACACAAAATAACTCTGTTGAAACTAACAAGCAAATATGAAGTTACAGAGATCAGTTGATGTTAAATTGTTAGTGTGTAATAGTGTCTTTTGTTTTAGACTTTGTGAATGACAGAAAAGTAGAAACACCTAAGGCAATGTAATCTCTGTATAATAGCTTCAGAAGCTTCCACTTACCTGATTTTGCAGCAAGCAGATGTAATTTTTAACCATTCAATGATGTTTTGAGGTGGGCCATCATCTGAAGTATCAAATAATAAATAGGAAAAGCTTAATTTTCAGAATGTCCAAACTACTGGGTACTAATTCAGAAATAACGAAATAAACATGAATTTTTCATGAATGCTCATAATCACGAGGCTGAAAATTAGTGAATTAAAAATTGAGTAAACTGTAAATAAAGGAAGAACAATTTGGATGGAACCAACCTGCAATCACACTTTCAGAGGTGGAAACTTCAGTGCAATTATCAAATATATATCCATAGTTGAGTATGGCACTCTTTAGAACAGAGTAGCTTGGAAAGTGTCCAATGTCAACTGAGAGTTTGTCAGCCTGTAACGAATAAAAATTTACATGCAGAATCTTCAAAGTATAACACAAACCATACATTTGCTTATAAATACGTTACCTCATTTAGGGAAAGAACACTGTCCCAAAAGTCAGATGCAGCAACTCGAAACTTCTTATTACACGAGTACAACACTGGTAGCTAGTGGTGTTAAGCATACAGTACAGTTTAATCAAACAATAATAACTGGAAAAACACACATATATCAATTCTTACATTTGGTTAGTGCCCAAGATGCTATAGAATCTTCAACAGAGCCATGCAAGAGGACCAACTTCAAAAGCCATCCATCCACCAACAAGCCTTCTAGAAACCCTTCTCCTACACAAATAGCAATAGAGAAATGTTGAAGTGACTGATAAAAGAATATTATGCCATAGTGGTACAGTCGAGAAGAAGAAAAGCTCAAGTAGAAACAAAGACAAGTCAAATAATATCATCTTTTTTTGCAAGTCAGATACTTAGACACTCGTAACAGAACTAACCTTGTTCAATGTTTAGATCAAAACCTAAATGCTCATTTGCACAGAATGATTTCAGAAGTTGACAATTTTCAACTCCTGTGACAGTAAGAACAGAAGGGGATTTCTGCAGGCACAGTACATAAGGATATTTAGTTTTAAAAAATAGAAAAAATCACTTAGCTGTCGCACTCAACATTAACTGAATAAATGTAGGGCCATTTAACCTGGCAACCAAAAACTCTCTGACCCCATTGGGGCACATCATCACCAGCATCCAACTCTTTCGACTGTAAATTCAATAATATCTTAGAGACAGGAATATACATAGAAAATGTAAAAGTTTTATGAACAGATGTTTGTTTGAAAACTACCTGCTCCTCATACTCCTCAACAAATTTGCGAAACTTAATCTCCTTCTCCTTCACTTTCTTGTCTTCATCATCTGAATTATATCCTTTGGATCCATGCTTGGACTCAATACCATAAGCTTTAAGGTCATCCTTACCACTTGCAAAGAAATCCTCTAAAAGATCGTCCAACCCAATAACCTTCTTCCTGAAAAGAAAATGGGCAGTGGTAAATTAAATATGTCTCTAAAATGGTCGTACTACCTACACCAAACTGTTATTAACACATTTACACACCTTGAGGGCAAACGATTCCAATGGTAACTAACAATATATATCATCACTACACATCTTGTCAGCTAACCAGTGACCACTCATCAAACGAATCTTCTGCAAACACCACGGATTCATCGACTGAGTGCTACTGCTACTACTTCAATCCTACTACCAAACATAAACCAGCCAAAGCAACGACATTGCAGTTTCACTTTATCCCCTAAAACCCTAGAAAAATCAGAAGAAGGGAACCCCCGCAACCAGCGAAATCACACCCACCCCGATTACTCGAGACCCGACCATACGCGCCAGAAATATAATTGCCCAAAAATGGAACTCAAAACCTGACATCCACTCCAACCCCTCAAATCAATCGGCACCCAAAAAAAAAGAAAGCGGAGTAGAATGGGGACGGATTGCCACCTCTTGGCGGGGCGCGCCTTAGGGAGGAGCGGATCCTCCTTCTCGAAGTCGAGGGGCTCGTCCAGCAGCATCTCTCCCCCCGGCGAGCTCGCGCGAAGGCGGGGAGGATTTGTGGCTCCGGGGTGCCTCGCAGTCGCAGCAAACCTTGGCGACGCCGGCCGAGAGGTGGAAAAGGATGAAGCGGAGGCGCCGTGCTCGCCAATTTTTCTCCCGTTTTGTAACTGCTCGCAGCGAGCCCACTGAGCCCATTCTAGGGACAGGCCCAATAGGCAATTGGTGTGTATTTTTATTTAGAAAAAAGTCCACTTTAACTCCCTTAAAATGTAACCATAAAATCGGGATGGAAGACTCAAATTATTAAAACCGGTACAGATTGACTTCTATAACAGTATTGTAGACGGTATTTGATGACGTGGCAACAATGCTTAGGTAGGGTAGTTAGGAAATATTTAGCTGACAACAATGCTCGAGCTTCAACCGTTCAGAAGGAGCACAGGGATGGTCATGCCCGGCAGTGGCAGCAGTCCAGTAGAATGGGATCGGCGGCGCCCAATGCTGCTGAGCTCCCTCGTTTCTGCCGCCATAGCCCAAGAAGACATGAATGGAACTGGAGCATTGTCGCTGGCACCGCTCTAAGCTCACGTGTCCTTGCACGTTCCGTGTCCTCATTGATGCAAAACACGATGCTCTGAAAAAATTGCTTAACTTTAATGCAGGTCTAAAACTACTGGTTTAAAGGCGTGCCGGTTGGTGTGATCCTGCAATTAATAAGATAGACAATAGCAAAAATTAGTAAATGATAGCCAATCAGCCGATAGGCCGATGTTGTATCGCGTAAACTATTGTACAAATGAATTGGCTATAAATATGAAGGATACTTGTTCATAAGCTAGATCTAGATTACATATAATTATAAATAACTTTTTCTTAGAAAAATCAATAATATATGTCAAACACAATTTATATAGCATAAAATTAATAAAGTTAAAGTCAATCATAGAATAATTTTATAACTGAAATAACTAGTCGATGAACATATGTTTGTGGATTAGACCTAAATTACTTGCAATCGGCGGTAGAGGTAATTATCATGCAATTACTAATTCGATCTTTGCCTTAAATACGAGCAATCGAGATAGATCGGACCTAACCGAGACAATATTAGTTGCTTGTACTCAAGAGGAAATAAATTAATATATGAATTTATATCATAGCTGATGAAGTAACTTAGGTTCTTAGAGATAACATATCAGCTAGAACTCTGATACAACAGATATCATGTTTCCAGTTAAATATACTAAACAAGTCTTAATCCCAACATATCGGACTTAACTGATATGTTGCGGGACCAATTACAAGCTTAATAGATTTGAATGTTTGATAGTCTTAGATAAGATGATAGATATAATATATTAAGCAAAGACAGTAAATCAGAATAGTTATATCAGGTAAGACCGAATGAAACCCCGGTGACCCTATCGACAATCAAAGAGCAAATTAGTTCTTACAATTTCAAGTACAACTTAGTAGGTCAAAACTAACTGATGCAGCACCAAGCTGTGATAGAAATCGTAAGATCTAAAAAAACCTTACAAGAGTAATTTAGACAATAGAAGGTGGCCCTGAGTTGAACTACCTGATATGGGTAAATAACATTGTTTAATTTAGATTGAACAATGTATATGATAAATTAGCGCTTGTATCGACTGATTTAGAGTATCGAACTTAATCGATGGAAGCCCTAGCCTCGCCGATACAAGCAAACTATTGACGGAACTCACCTCTTGTCGGAGATCGGACTAAGCCGATACAGTTCAACTCGAATATAAGAACTCGTTGAGATGAAAACCTTGTAAACTAGGGTAGGAATGCGCCGAAAAGTGATTATTGAACTGTTGTTTTTTACAAAGACTCTGTATGTATATATTTATACCATAAGTAAATACTAGTTATTATCGGATATAACTCAAATTTTCCTAAGGATAAAGTAAAAAATTTACAAGCCCAATCGAACTATAAAACAAACTTTCCTAAAACATAAAAGGAAATAACTAACTCAATCTATTTAATAAATAAGTTAAGATGTTGTATCCTTATCGAGAACTCGACCTCCCCTTGGTAACGTCACCAAATCTTCCCATACCGAGTCCGACAAGGGGTCGATTCCTGGTTATCGTCCATGTCCTATCGGCAACTTTCATAACTCTGCCGCCGATACGCTTTAGCTGATGCAATCTTCTAACTTTGGATCCCAAAATCACGCCATCAATACCGCTCTGCGCTTTCTCCTTACTCAATAGAATATGCCAAATTTTACCGTTAGTAGTCCTCTATCCTCCCTTTTCACCGCGACCTCTTTCTCCCTTCCTCCACTGCACTACCGCTGTGTCAATTTAGCCCTTGAAGCCGGTGGCTTCCATCCTGGCAATAGCAACCAGGGCAGAGAGGCGTCCGATGACGGTGCTCCCCTCCCTACATGTGCCGCCGCCTTTCCTCGACCTCGCTGCCATAGTTCGCCGATAAGACAAGCGGCTGCACCCGAGATGTTTATGGTTTGTTTTCATTTTCAGCAAAATTTGGTCGCAATTTGCATTAAATACTTTTAGAAGTTACTTTATACAGATGTTTGTGATTTGCAATCGTTTTCAGCAAAAACTTATTCTAATTTGCATTAAATAATAAAAAAAACTTCATACAGATGTTTATGATTTGCATTTATTTTCAGCAAAAAAATGCATTTAACAATATTATGATTTGCATTTATTTTCAGCAAAAATTGCATTTAACAATATTCTTTCCTCGACCTCGCTGCCATAGTTCGCCGAAGAGGCAAGCAGCTACACCCGAGATGTTTATGGTTTGTTTTCATTTTCAGCAAAATTTGGTCGCAATTTGCATTAAATACTTTTAGAAGTTACTTTATACAGATGTTTGTGATTTGCAATCGTTTTCAGCAAAAACTTATTTTAATTTGCATTAAATAATAAAAAAAACTTCATACAGATGTTTATGATTTGCATTTATTTTCAGCAAAAAAAATGTATTTAACAATATTATGATTTGCATTTATTTTCAGCAAAAATTGGTCCCGGCGGGGCTCGAACCCGCGACCTTCGGCTCATAAGACCAACGCTCTAACCAACTGAGCTACGGGACCCTGGTTGAATTATTTTTTCTTATAATTTATATGTACTGTCCTGAGAAATTTTTGGAGAACCCTTTTCTACGTTCTAACATGGCACTCTGTATAGAGATACTGGTTTTATTGGACCAGCAATAACAAAAGTTGAGAGAAAAACGATGGAGGCAAACAAGCCAAAACCAATGTATATGTAGGCGTACGCAAAACCAACGGGCACACTGAAATACTGAATGACAACACCATCACCCACACCCCAACGTACATCAGCTCATGAGCTTCACTGAAAATTCGCCAGCAACGACGACAGGGCCGAATTGTTGGACCGGACTCCTTTTCTCCAGGAGTCCAGGTGGGGATCCAAGAATTAACAGCACATTCTGTCCGGCAAATTAAAACAGAGCAGATGATCAAATCCAACCAAAGCAACAAAATTTCCATACGGGGCCCCTTAATTCGGTCCTTCGCTTGCATGCTGCCTCTTAACCATCGATGCCGACCGTCCGCAAGTCGCTCCCCATGTGTGCACTGCACGCATGTATGCATCCTGCAGGCTCCAGCCTACAGCTCGATCGATCGATCCCCATCGATGGCCGCTTCATTCTTCGCCAGCGCCGCGCCTATGTGTACAGATAAAGACCCGACGCCAGCCTACGCGCCACATGCGAGATGCACACACGCACACACCGTACGCCAGCGACCGACGACGACGTACGTAGGTAGCCACATATGCGTACGAAACACACGGTAGCTAGGTAGGTGAGCGCTCGCCATCGTCGGCGCGCACCCTGCACTCTGCATCACGCTGCATCGATCATCCGGGCCCTGACGACGTGCGGCGCGCCGCGCATCACGCGCGCTTCCTCGTCATCGTCGTCGTCCTCCAGCTGCATGCATGCCACATTGCCAGTTTGCCACAGACGCGCACATTGACTGAGACCTGTGGCGGAGTTAGAAAAACTTTTGAAACGGGGCAAATTTCACTATAGCTACATTTGCTATAGAAATTTCCTGATCAGTTTATTCAAAAGTATTAGTAATATTTAATGGAATTTTCACCGGTGAGCCGGGGCGATTGTCTGGGCTAGCCGGACGATAGCTCCATCCCTATTGAGACGTGTACACCCCGCGGAACGCGCAATAGGCGAACTACACCACCCTGCTCTTGGCCGCTTTTGCACGACCAACACATTTATTCAGTCTCGTATAATTAGAGATTGACTGAAGAGATGAATCGAGAATAAAGCACTGTATTTTGCATTGGCTGTCACATGCTGCTGCGGACATCATTACCTCGAATACACACAACAATCCTCCAACGGTCATTCAAGAACCGATAACAAGAGCTCGTGCGCGACAATTGAATTTAGAGACGAGCTCGCTCCTATGTTCTTCTTTGTATGAATTCGAGAATAGATTGTTACCTAATGATTATATTGTGCTTAGAAATAATGGAGGAGACAAGAAGACACTTGGAGAAGGACTTAGAGCCATGGAGGATCATCAAGGACGTCTAAGTCAAGGTGGAGGCCCAAACCAAGTCGACGTCGAGTGCAATTCGGAGTCCAGGACTAGTCTGCACTAAAACGGACGCTCAGGTCGCATACATGCTCGGATTGGGGCGTTCTTTATATGGATGGAAAGCTAAGAAGATAACCTTTCCAATGGTTTTGGTCCCACGTCCAAATTCTCTCCGGGTCAATGGGAATTGACCGAACAAGTTGACGTCCAGAATCTGTCCTGGTGCTGCGTCACCGTATTTGGGCCTTTGGCCCGTGTATCGTGTTGGAACCCATTAGGGTTGCGTCGAGAGGGGATTGCACGACCCTAAACTCTATATATCAGTACCCGCCGCCATCTTTAGGTTTTTGGGTTTTGCTTAGATTATTCTGTCGAGAACAGTTTCGTCGCTAGATCGGTTTGTAAGACCCCAACTCGTGAGCTTAATCATTCATCTGCAATTTTGGTTGTTTTCTATCTCGTTCTTGTTTGTGTTCTTCGATTGGCAAACAGGGATTAGCCTTCTCAGCGAGGTCATCCGCGTTTCGACACGGGTGATAACCAGAGGAGACGTGGTGCTACGATTGCGAGGCTCAAGAGCGTGCGCATTCAAGAAGCTGGATCGATTTTTGTTACGACTCCGCCCAAATCGTTGTTTATCAGAACCTTTTGAAAGATCGGAAACCCTAGTGCACATCACATGCCAAGGACCAGACGACCTTAGGGCATCTCCAACAGTCTCTCCAGCCAAATTTTGGCCATTCAAGCACAAAAAAGAGATCCAACAGACTGACCAACCGGATGGCCAAACTCGCTCGCTGGCTAGCTAGATTTGGCCAGCCAAAACACCTCGCGGCGGCGGCCTCTAGATCTGGCAACCCGAGGGGAGCTCAACGGCGCTCAGCTGCGGGGAGTGGTCGGCGGGGAGAGGGGGACCACCTCGGCAGCGTCGGCGTTGGTGAACCGCCGTCCGCCTCCCAGCGCCGCCTCCCACTTCCCCGCGCCGCCTTCTGCCTTCCACCTCCCGCGTCGCTGCACCACCATGCGCCATGCGTCGGCCGTCGTCGGCAACAATGTGATCGACGGGAAGGAAGGAAAGGGGAAAAGAAGGAAACATAAGGAAGAATGGGAGAGAGAGGAAGAAGAGTAGAGGCTGACATGTGGGTCCGTTGTTATTTTGGAGAGCATTGATCTGTTGGAGTGAGTATCTAGTTTGACTAGCTAAATCAGATGGGGAGTTAGCTATATGAGTGTTTGGAGAGTCTGATTTGAAAATGCTATTGAAGATGTTGTTATGCGCACGTTGGGAGGGAACGAAATTTAAGAACGACTTCGCTACCAAACTAGCTACTCCCTCTATTAAAAAAAAATCAACTTCTAGCTATGCAAGGAAATGTGTAATTGCTCATTAGTTGCCACGACCCAAACTCGGAAAAAAAAAGATTGACTTGCCAAACATTTTACATGCGTTTATTGTACCATAGCTTGAACTGGCCGGTATGGGTTTGAGAGAGAAAAAAAGTACTAATTATGTACTCAGGTTTGGAAGTAGAGTCTACGTATTGATCTACGTGGTCCTGCTGATCTGTACTTTGGGTCTAGTGGAGTCAAGACGACATGTTCGTCATTAAGTACGAGATGGATCGGAACGCATCACTGATGACGAAACGAATGGACTAGTAGTACATAATTACGCACATGTGACACACACCACACATACTGTACATGGATATCACCGAGGCAAGCCGAGCGAAGACGAGTAGACGACGAGGAGTTTTCAACTGATGATGATGGCAGTGACGATTGCTAACACCCTGGTGCTCGGTGGCAACAGTTTTGCTGACCTTGCATATGTAGTACAACTAGGCAATTCCATTTGTTTTTGAACCAAGTAGCACCTGACCATCGTAGTATCGACTTGTACAATTGAATCTCACATTCTTTTTTTTTTAAAAAAAAGAAAGAAAATGCATACATATTCAACCCAAATACAAAACCTGTGTGATAATGTCCATCAATCTAGCAAATCATTCTCACAACGTGATATCTTTTTCTTTAATGACTTTCCGTGTTTTCAACGTTTAATGGCCGGATTTCCAGATAATAGCATATATTCCAAAAAAAATTTCCAATGAAGCAGATCGAGCAGAAATTAAGGAGTAAACAAATGATTTCCATGTTTTATGTGCATTGGTGCATACCAAGACAAGGAGGCTGACCTAACCAAGTTAACCATCCGTGGCTCCATATCTGAGCGGTCGCTTCGGTCCACGACGCGTTCACACCTCGACAAGTAGACCACCGCCCTGATCACTCGCCGCCCCGCGCGCGCGCGATCGATCCCCTCCTCGCTCCCAAATGCAAGGAGCAAGGTCGGCGGCGGCGATGGCGGCGGCGGCGGCCGACGAGGAGAGGGAGGTGCGGAGGGCGGTGGAGGAGAAGCCGGTTGTGGTGGTGGGGCGGCGCGGGTGCTGCATGGCGCACGTCGCGCGGCGCCTGCTGCTGGGGCAGGGCGCGAACCCGGCGGTGCTCGAGGTCGGCGACGACGCCGACCCGGCGGCGCTCGTCGACGCCGCGCTGCAGGCCCGCCGGCGCAAGGACGGCGGCGACAAGGCTGCGGCGGGCGACGGAGGCGGCGGAGCGGCGGTGGCATTCCCGGCGGTGTTCATCGGCGGGAGGCTGGTGGGCGGGCTCGATCGGCTCATGGCCATGCACATGGCCGGCGAGCTCGTGCCGGTCTTGAAGCAGGCAGGAGCCCTGTGGCTCTGAGTTGATCTTCGTCATTAGCGATGAGAGAGAGAGAGTCATTAGGCTTAAAACATATGCATGTCCCTTTTGATCTTTTTTAACTGTAGATTTGTTTGTGCTTCGTTCTCGATACAATTCTATCTTTAATTGCGTCGATCATATGGAAACTTCGAAACTTCAGAGAAACAGAGTTGATCAATCAAGAGATGTTCACAAGGTCATCATGAATTTGATTGGATTAGATCAGTCCCAGATCGTACTTTGGTTTATCCCTACCATGCCACAGGATATAAGAACGTATTTTCCATGTTGATGTTGATCTATGCAACTCTGATCGGCACATCAAAATGTGTTTACATGGATGTTTCATTCACCAGTCTAGGTCGTCAGAGAGCAGAGGTATGCACGGGACGATCCAAGCTACTTCTTGGAATTTCGAGCTCTTCCAAACAAAACCTATACATGTTGGCTCGTCATTATCCAGTCATGTTGATGGACAACTGGGTTTATTATCCGTGGAGAGAGTTGGATACTTGGATTTATATAGTTGACTCGACTTTCAACATGCAACGATTGAGTGGTTATCAGTCTTATCGATCTTGTTCTTGTTCAGAATTAGGAAGAAGTTAAACTAGAAATTTTGACAAATTTTATTTGAGTTTCGGTGGTTTTCATCGGTGATCGGTTGTCAATTTTATTGACAAAACATATGGGGTGTGGTTTTTTCTGAGCAGGTTGGGGCGGTTTTCGATGGGCAAAATGATCCCTTTTGTAAAACCCTCTCAACCTGTCCAATGGTTTTAGTTTATATATTGGGCGTGTTTTCACTTGTCAGTGAACCATATTTACTCTCAGGTTCACCTTTCTGATTAAGTGTCGAATCTCGAGTCTCAATGGTATGATTTCTTTTTTCTGAATTTCAATCAAATTTTAGTTGAACTGGCCTGTTTTAAATTTGAATTCCCAACAACCAATCAAAATTTC